GACAGACAGACAGACAGAGTTACTTTCGCATTTATAATATTAGTTGGGATTGGAAAAATTGTTTGTTTTAAAACATAGTTAAAATAATTTACCTACTTTAAACCTAACAATCTATAAAAGAAGTTATGAAATCAGACTAAAATTATAAAAGATATGCAGGTACCATTTAAACTTTACGTGACGTCACATAACACTTACATACCAGCTGGTTTAGGACGTTTGGCATTGTTTAAACGTTTGTGACGTCACAAAATCTGTTTCAATGGTATTTGAGAAAAAAAAGAACAAAGAGAAATAAAAATTACATGTAATATTGTATCATCGACGTACACTTAAGCTAGTTGGGCCCGATTCTATTTGTATGAACAATCAAGTGCGCACTTCCATACATGCCCATACTGATTAACTGCCCGACTAAAAAATCGGTGGTCTGCGCGTAGGCTAAGTCTAAGAGTAGGCGCACGCCGTTGATTTTTCGTCGGCCGATAGTTTAGTCGGGCAGTTGATCAGTACCTATGGGCATGTATGGGAGTGCGCACACTACGCCGATTCGATTTGGCCGATTCTTCATACAATTTAAAATCGGGCACAACTATCGGCCAACTTAAAATCAATGGTGTGCGCCTACTCTAATGTGTCATGCTTAGTTGAACATGTATCTCTGGAACAGGCGGCGAGCATTCCCGTGGACTTCGAGTCGTTCTTCTTCTCCGAGGTGAACCCCACGCTCAGTGCTCCCCTTGAAGATGTCGTCAACTCCATCTCCAAGAACAAGATCTGTATCAAGGTAAATAGGTACTTTACAAACCAAAATAAGTTGTATGACTGTTTGTTTCCCTAATATTCTAATAGTTCGTTTCATCCACGAAGACGCGGGGGGTCGAGAGAAGCGCGGGGTGCGGGGAGTTTGATCCGACCAATCCGAGCGTCATTGTTGCCATTGGCAGCGTTGCAATGAGGGTTTTCGCGAATGAAAAATGGCAATACGTAGACGCGAGGTCCAAATGGATTGGTTATTTTTGACATGACATTGACAGATATGTCAAAATCCACCAATCACGCAGCAGTCAGACCTCACATCCACGTCCCGCCATCTAGCGGATGCTCGGATTGGTCGGATCATGCTCCCCGCACCACGCGCTTCCCTCGACCCCGCGCGTCTTCGTGGATGAAACGAACTATACTTAAACGGATTTTTTATTACTTTGTTTGTAACTAAACGTCTTTATACAGGGTGTCCCAGCGTGGGTGAATCAAACTGTTAGGGGAGATAGCTCTACTAATGTACTATCCCTAAAAAACATTAGTAGAGCTACCCTAGGGACTAGGTCTGGGACACCCTGTATGGTTAACAAATAACTACGCTGACAGAATTTAAAAATTGATAAAAATATCCAGGCTTCTTATCAGTTTTGGCAAGGTTTCATCATCATCATCATCATTTCAGCCATAGGACGTCCACTGCTGAACATAGGCCTCCCCTAATGCTTTCCACGTTGATCGATTGGCAAGGTTTAGTTAGGCATCATTTAACCACCTTCTTTTTTGAAAACCACAACAGTCCATTTCTTTTTTTATGTGAAGCATCTTGAACGCGGTCCAGTCCAGGGTTATGTTCATGGAGTTTATGGGAGCACTGTACTAAAGTGCGTTTCAAAGCCAACTTTGTCCACGGCTATGGGTGCCCGGACCACTAAGCTAAGTGGCAGCTTAGTGGTCCAGGCAAGTTTCTTCATTCTGCGGGATATTTCGGTTACTTAATAATAATAATAATAAGCCTTTTATTTCCGAACACTTTCACAAAATGTCTAAAATTTCGGTGTGCCTATTGGCAAAGGCCTCCTCCAACTCCTTCCATTGCCTTCTGTCCTCCGCCACTCTCATCCATAGAGGTCCTGCGGTCAACCTCAATTCATCCTCCCATCTTAAAGCCTTGCGACCTCGGTTTCTGGCGCTATCTCTTGGGTACCACACTGTCAACCGTTTACACCACTTCTCCTTGTTACAGCGTAGCATATGTTACTTATATTGTGACAAGAGCCATACCCATACTGGGAATAAATAAAACTACAGTATTCAAAATCAAAATCAAAAATATTTATTCAGTTTAGACCACAAGTGGCACTTATGATTAATTAATCCCTCAGGGTATCCTCGCGACGCCCGACTTCTCCCACACCGGCGAGCTGCAGACCCTCAACATGAAGCTTCGCAACGCTCTGGACCTGTTCGCCAACGTCGTGCACGTCAAGTCGCTGCCCAACGTCAAGTGCCGCCACAGCAACGTGGACTGCATCATCATCCGGGAACAGACCGAGGGCGAATATTCAGCGTTGGAGCACGAGTCAGTTCCTGGTAAGTGAAGATTGATCGTCTTTTGTTTAATTAGTTAAAATGAAGTTGCGCAATCGCCACAGCAACGTGGACTATGCAGTCCTATGATGATGCCATCATCCGAAAACAGACCGAGGGCGAATATTCAGCGTTGGAGCCCGAGTCAGTTCCTGGTAAGGGGGCGTCCATAAATTACGTGAGGCTTTTAGGGGGGGGAGGGGGTCAACGAAAATCTCACTAAATCTCACGTGGGGGAGAGGGGGGGTCTCGGAAAATATCACGTAATTTTTCCCGCAAGAAATAGAGTAAAATTGCCAGAAAACTGGGTTATTGAAGTAAAAAATATGGTTTTTTTTATGATTTTAATGACAATTTATTCCAAACCGTCTAATCAAATTAAACTAAAAATGCCTCCATCTGCATTTATGAACACTAAAGATGCAGAATAAATGTCGAAATTAAGAAAATTCGAAATTAAAAAAAAAAGTCGTCAGCATCGCTATTGCGTAATAAATTGGCCAAGTGCGTGTCGTCCCACGCGCAGTGTAGGGTTCCGTAGTTGTCTGTCGTTACCACAATATATTTCAGAAGCAAGCAACTTTTCATATTTTCTTCTAACGAATTTTTACTGGTTAAGAAATTGTATAATACATGAGTCAAATGACTATTACTCTTAAACTAAGTAATGTATCTTAACCGTTATAGTATTCCTTCATCTTCAAAAATTCATCCCCACTTTACATGCAGGGAGCTCCCCTGCATGTAAAGTGGGGATGAATTTACCCTAGAAATTATACAGGGTGTTTGGCGCATCGTGTGCCAAAATGATTTGGCGGATAGAATGGGTCATTTCCTATATTTTCAGCCCCCATAACACGTTCCATGTCAGGCGGCTACTTTTATATTAAGTTTTTTAGTAATTTCACCAAAATACCCAAATCGCATCATTTAATTTCGATTTAAAAAAAAACTACTAAGCGTAGCCTCAAAGTAAATATTTTGTTTTGACGTGCATTGATATAGGGTTGCATCAAATCTAAATTTACTGGCAAATATCATCTAGTTTTTTTTTAATTCAGCTTTGAACTTTTCCGAAAAGTTAAAAATGGACAGAACATTTAAGTTTACATGGCTATAATTTTTTTTTTAAAAGAGATAGCGATCTTCGGATTTTATCAAAACTTCTCTAGTCTATCCCCATTCAAACGGTATACTAATCTTGTTTAAATAATAACAACAACTTCACAAATTCCCTAAATTAGTGCATTGACTCTATTCGGACTGATTTGCGAAATTTGTGTTTATAGCCCCTTTTTGTGTGAATAACACATTTTCCTTTAGGAATCATCTAAGCCTGATATTTCTTAAATTATGACCTTAATAAAAGCAAAATATATGCCAAATAATTGTTAAAAACAATTAACAATTTTAGATACTATCTCAGTCTGCCTACGAACTACATATGAGCAGATAGAGGTAAAAGTAAGGATCACTCACACGGCATATTGGAGGAAAGAATAAAGGTTAATTTATTCCTTCAGCTTTTAAGTTTTGTCACACTTATTCTTTAACAAATTCGCTCGTCAGTTTGCACACATTTCCCAACAGAAATAAAACGTATTTATTAATAAAAAGTCATTATTTTGAAGAGCACTCATACGGCCCGTGTGCGGTGTGAGTGATCCTAAATAATCGTCATAACTTTGGAACGGGACGTGCAAGGAATTTCTGAATTTGTTAATAGTTTTAACATATTCTTAACAATTTTTCAATACTATAAAAAGAAGTGGAAAGGCTTTATTTTCTGAAATAAACATGTTGACGTTTTCTTAAAGCGTGCGGTATGAGTGCTCCTATTTATTGGCCATAACATTTTTATCTTAGGTTTAACAAATTTTTAAACTTCATCGCAATGTTTTAACATATTTTAAGTAAAACTTCCTTAATTTTTGTTAAGATTGAAGCAAGGATCACTCAATCCACATGCACATATCTTTCCAGGGGCGTACAGAGGAAGAGAGGCAGGCTAGGGCAGCTGTTCTCTTGGAAATGGTACATCCTTATGTTTTGTCCTAAAGTGTCTAAATAAGGGGATCCTGCCTAAAATTTTCCCCCTTTGGCCAGTCTGCCCCTCCCTGGTAACAAGCTAGATACGCCTTTTCACCTGTCAACCTTATGGTGCATCATCTACCGGGAAGCGCGGCTTAAACGTAGGTCGTCTTTTGTTTAATAAATAGTTAAAATGAAGTTGCGCAATGCGCTCGACTTCACAGCCAGGACGTGATGAGGAGAATGATCGTCTTTTGTTTAAAAAATACTTAAAATGAAGTTGCGCAACGCTCTGGACCTGTTCGCCAACGTCGTGCACGTCAAGTCGCTGCCCAACGTCAAGTGCCGCCCAACGTCAAGTGCCGCCACAGCAACGTCGACTGCATCATCATCCGGGAACAGACCGAGGGCGAATATTCAGCGTTGGAGCACGAGTCAGTTCCTGGTAAGTGATCATCGTCATTGCAGCTATAGGACGTCCATTGCTGGACATAGGCGTTGCCCAGAGATTTCGAGATTCGCCGGTTTGTAGCGGCCTGTATCCAGCGCCTTCCTGCAAACTTTATAAGGTCATCTATCCACATTGTATAGCACCGTCTACCGGGAAGCGCAGCGTAGACATAGGTCGTCTTTTGTTTAATAAATTGTATTTATTATATCTTCTTCTATATCTATACTTGTAATAAATCTGTAGAGAGGTCAATTCTGTACATGAAATATATTTTCAAAATAACTATCAGGGGGTGATTAGTGATCGATACTGATGCCAAAAATGCAATCAGTAAAATTTTTGTCTGTCTGTCTGTCCATCTGTATGTTCCTTATAGAAACAAAAAGTACTCGACGGATTTTAACGAAACTTGGTACAATTATTCCTCATACTCCTGGGCAGGTTATAGTATACTTAGGAATTCCCACGGGAACAGGAATTAGCTGGAAAATCCTTTTGTATGAAAAATCTAAACCGCTTAAGTTAGACGCTTGAAATTTGATATGTAGGTACCTTAATAAACTTAAAGCTTAGTTACAACAAGTAATTCCCGAAATTCCCACCGGAACGGGAATTCGCGGGAAAATCGTTTTTTATTAAAAATCTAAACCGGTTAAGTTAGACGCTTGAAATTTATATGTAAGTACCTTAGTAAACTTAAAGCTTAGTTACAACAAGGAATTCCCGAAATTCCCACGGGATCGGGAATTCGCGGGTAAATCCTTTTGTATGAAAAATCTAAACCGCTTAAGTTAGACGCTTGAAATTTGGCATGTAGGTCATTGAGTTATAATGTACTACGTACTAGAGAAGACATG